GTGGGATAAAACTTTTCATTCTTAACTCTTGCCGACCTTAATTCTGATATTTATTTTCAAACAAAACAATGCTCACAACAACACATTTGTTAACATCTAACCATTTTGTTTTTCATCTCCTTTCCCTCTCCTCCAGGTGAAAGCAGGGTTTGGGGTGAACCTGATCGGCGTGGCAGTGGTGATGTTGGCCATCACCACATGGGGGGTTCCTCTCTTCAACCTGACTGAGTTCCCAGCTTGGGCGGAGGCCAGGAACATCACCGGTATTTTATAACCACCGCTGGGTTCGGGGATGAGTCAATAAAAGACAGAAAGAGATGGGGCAATGTTTCAATAAAGAAAGACAAGAAAATGACGTCAAGGGGATGGTCTGGGTCAGAGTTCAGCCCTTTCTTAGATGGATTAAACTGGACCTGAAGAAGGTTGAAGAGAAGGAGGAGAAGAAGAGGAGAGCGAAAAACCATTACCTGTTGCGTAGATGTAATAATTAGAATTATATGTTATTGGCCACATGGGGGCATCACAAGGAATGCAGAATGGCCACTGCGTGAGGCTCAGACCTCCAGCAAAAACTTTTTATATTGTAACTCCATTAACAAAGTTTGATGGAGATTCTGTTTTCACTGAATCACTGGGGATAGTTCCAAGAGCTACAAACATATTTGTGGTGATCAGGAAACTGATATTTTGTTTTTTTTATTCATAATAGAAACAATAAGTGTTTTCAGAACCACATTATGCCCTGTCATGTGGATTAGTTGATATTTAGATAGAAATAAGCTATATAGCCATCGCAGATAAGCCTCTTTTTTACTGCATGCTTGCTAAACTTCTGCTGCACTTATTGCTCTTTAACCAGAGCACGTACATTAACACCGTGGGCTGGTGACAAGTTTGCTGAGAGAATTAAAAATATTGTTTTGATATATCACTTTGGCTAAACTGTCCATTGTAAAAGAGACAGCTGATCGCTGTATTAAAGCAATATAAATGCACGAAAAGAGGCTTCTGCTATGGCTGATGATGTACTGTATACATAGAAATACTTGCTGTCAAGCCTTTCACATGTACCCAGTGTCTTATGATATATCTAATATGATCTATTATTGCAGAGGTAAAAACGTACCTGTATTTAGGAGGAAACTGAAAGCTTATGCACTGTCCATGCATGTTGTTAGCAGCTGCCGGCATTCATTTAAAAATCTTGGCTTCTTAAAGAAATACTTCACCCCCCAAATGATGATTTGTACATCACTCAATATGACTCAATATGCAATTATGCTGAATTTCTGAAGAGAGCATTTTTTTCTCGTATGCTTCCACAGTGAATGAAGAATCTAAAATTTAAGCCAAAGGCTGCGTTTAACAAGAGTGTATCTATAGCAAACAATTTGTAACCCTTTAAACCACCAAAATTACTAAAATAGCCAACTAACTGATCAAGTCAGTGAAAGACCAGCAGCTCCTGTGTTCTGCGAAGAAAAATTACATTTTTTTTCAATGGAGTCTGGCTTTGGCTTTGTCTGTTTGGGAAGTACTGAGCATACGACTGTATAAATAGACTTGAAATGTACTACACTAGTTTGTAAATAGATGTTTTAACATAGTTTTGCTGTTGTTAAACGTGGACCCCTATTACTTCAATTCATCAAGAATTTTGACAGTGTTTGGATTCTTCATAAACCATGTAGGCATGCAAGGAAAACTAAGTTTTCCTCATGAATTCAATGTAACACAGGGTGAGTGACTGATATACAAATGGTCATTTAGGAGTCGAAGTGCTCCTTTCATGATGTCTTAACCAAAGTTTCTGAAGCTGATTTTGTGCTCCATCATACTGTGAACAAGCATCTCGCAGTACCACTAGTGCCTTTACCCTATTATTGCCTGTCATATTACACTTTTAGCTTGACTGTCCAAGTGGGAAGCAGACCTCCAGCCCTGACAGTGTTAACGCCTTGCTGTAATCTCAGAGCAGTGCAGGAGCAGCTCACTACCGCCCTCCTTAAATGATGGACAGCAGGAGTGTAATTGCTTTTTACTGTGCTGTTTCTCAGACATATGCTTTTACTTGATACCATTTCAATGTTAAGAATGTAAACTGTACTGTATTTAAGGTATAGACAGTCCTGGTTGGTTGATTAATCATACCACCTTTCTTTGTAGCTTTTCCTTTTCTTGAAATTTGAAAGGAGACTTGAGAGGTTAGACACTGTTCTGTGTTAGGTGCTCATCTTAATTACTTCTTTGCCTTAAGCTTGTTGGTCAGATGCTGTTTTTTTTTGTCATATTGAATACATCTGTAGACTTCATAATCAGATCACTAAGGTCCAGATTTGTGCCAATATAATCTTGAAAGTAATTTCTGTGTAAGTCAGCAGGTAGAAAACACCTTCATCAAGGAATAATAGCTACTGTAATTATCACATAAACATGTATGTTTCATGAAGTGTGTTACATGAGCATGTAAAGCAACAGGATCACCATGTTTGGTCTTTATTGTGGTCACCCAGGAGGTGTGACATTTCTCCTGGTGCGTGAAAAAAGAGATTTGGAAGGCTGCAATGTCCCTCCAAGTCCTGAGTTATTGTCGAATGCAACATCCAAAGCCTTTAAAGCAGAGAGAACGGAGAGTAAGGTAGCACAGGGTCGTATGGTACAATTGTTTGTTCAATCAACTGTCAAATCACAGTAACTGTTGTCTGGTGGTGAAAAGGTTTGCACACAGCATTCACTCTACTGTGTGAATAATATAAAAGATATGCTTTATATTTTTACACAAATTTTCAATGCAATTTGTGGCTTTTTATATATATATATATATATATATATATCACTGCATTCTAAGTTTAGGTTCTAGTGTGGGCAGAATCAAGACTTTTATTTTGTAATTTATTCAGTTCTACTGAAGGTTTCATACATCTTGATGGTGTTGCCGCAGTGACCTTTGACCAAGGGGCCACACTCCTCTGTAAATACATACAGATTTGTAATATAAAGATTACGTGCCTTTGCCTGTTTCCAAATGAGCTGTAATATTCCTAAAATATGTGTTTTACCTTGATGTCTCATCAGACAAAAACTAGAGTTAGGATGATACATTATACATGCACAAAAATAAAACCACTAAAACAACTGAATGTATTTATTATTTTATTTATCTACACACACCATCACAAATCAGCCACACTTTGAGTTTTTGACTAATGAGGCACTGTCCTGGAATTAGCAATCAGTAGAGCAGCATTTATCTAATCACACCAGTATAATTTAATTGATGGGAACCCTTGACTTTGACCCAAACACCAAGCAAAGGAAGAACACTGCTGTGTTCGGCACACAGAATACAATGGCTGCTAACAGATATGATGAGGAGGTGATAAAAACCCAATCGCAGACAATTCATCTTGTACAGTGGTAGGATGAGTGTTGATATAGACACAGTATGTATGGATTCGTATATGGGTTGAACTGATCATGAGTATTACAACATCATTTAGAACGTCACAAGGAACAATAGTACAGTCCGTCCACAGTGACATTACGTGTAATATCCAGGTGAAATCCAACTGACTTGTTTTGTCATTTTGATTTCCTTTGTTATCCAACATATCAGACCAGCTGGACCAGTAGAGGGAAGCTCAAGTCACTTTCAAAAAGAGCTGCTAACATGGATGATTTCTTCTTTTATCTCTGTAGAAATAAATAAAGGTGAAGTTCAGGTCCACAATAAAGTTAGGAAACTCCTCTCTAAATCCCGCTCCTCTTGCCCTGGTCTGAATAAGGCTGAAAGTCAGTCTGCAGATTTGGACAGGCTGCAGTCCAGTGGTTAAGAAGGTTGCTTGGGGCCTTCGGCAGGTGTGAAGCCCTCTGTCTCCATCTTCGCTTTGTATTTCAAGAAGTCTCTCCTCTTGGTGAAATATTTCACCTGCCAGGGAAAATGCAAAAGATAAGCACTCTGCAGTATAGCTTTTCATCACCTGAGCAAAGTGCGCTTTCTTGAATGATGAGAGTTGAGGACCATTCCAATTTCTTAAGTAACACCTTCAAAGATTGTTAATTAACTTATATTGTGATTCTGAAACACTGCTTACAGCTCATCCTTTCTATCATCAGACCACAGACCTCACTGATCACAAAGCTATAAAAGAAGGGATCATTTACCCACTGAGCAGGGCAATTTGCCTCAAACTCGCCCTGGAACATCTGGCAAGGAGCAGCTTGATCATTGTTGTCATCCAGACATTTCCACAGCTTGTCCCTGGCGTCCCAGCAGGCCTTTCTTTCTGCTGAGTTTGGAGCTGCCATCACTGCTTGACCCTGGGAGAGATGTATGATAAGTAAGATGAGTAAGTTAACAGGAACTAATGTGGCTTCTGTTGTGTGTAGGATAAACTGTTGACATATATTATGAACAACTAGGCACCTACAAAAATTAATTTCTCAATATAGTCCATCAATAGCTGTAATACTTAAACTTTATGCAGTGTGTTCACTGGTCCTCGTCATGTAATGTCCCTCACTACTTTATTTATGTTTACGCTGTCAATTTACATCCATACATCAGCCTCAAAACACCAAATATCTTTTATCGATCGACATGACACCACTGCACCATGTTTACTTTGATATTAGGCTACAAATAATCAAATTTCAATCGCTCAAAAGTATCACTGAGCTAATACAAAGGTAAGCTGAGACCGCTCATATAAACTCACCACTCACCGAAATAAACGCTAAAGCCTCCAAGATTATCTCTTTGTTCCAACCACCGCTGCTGTTTGCTTCTGTCACTCCATAAAAGCCCGAAAAACAGAATAATATAGCTCCTAAATGACAAACACGGGACTTACTTAAGGGGTTCAGGTGTTACTGAGTAAAGTGAAGGACGCGCTGAGCAGCACTTCCTCGTCGCCTCGTGATGACGTCAGGACGTGTTTGACAAATTACACCAGGTGATGGCGCAGTTCGTTAAGAAATTCAAACTTAATTGACATGTTTGAAAGTTTTTAACACTATTTGTGGATATACTAAGCTGAATAATTTAAGGTAAATAAACTAGTATTTCTCCAGACGACGTCTTTAAAAATAATGTGGCGTTTTATGTCGTGTGTGGCGTATACTAGACTCCACAGGCTGTCGTGATAAAATGATGCAACAGGTGAGAGGGAGTGATTGAGTAGCTAATGTAACATCCTTTTGTAGCCTAGCTAACAGGTTTGTTGTGTGTCTCATTCACTATATTTCATCAATGCAACAGTATTCAGCGTTTTACAGTGCCAATGTAGTTAGACTAAATGTCGTCTTGGTATACTACGTTGTTGGTATACTAACTTACAAAATGTCCAAAAATGTTCCATAAAGGGCCACAGTGAAGTAAACCAATAGTCTGAATGTGGCAAACAATTAGGTTTTGTTGTTGTAATTATTAGTTACATAGCTTGGTGTAGAAGTAAAACCTTTTTTCCTGACTGTCTTTATAATGCACAAATTAGCCTAATTTACATAAACAGATGCATGGACAACAGAAAATAAATCACAAAATAGAATTACATAAACTAACAAAAAGCCAAAAGAATAACACATTTACATTCTATAATGCCTGAGGTTTTCTTACATGCAACATAGTATCATCATTTAATAACCTGAAGGTGTTAATAACTATTTTGTTCTCAACATTTGACAACATGATGCTATATTGTAAATGCTAGTGCTAATTTGACTTAACTTGAAGTTACTAAAATACTCTGCAGTACAGGAGGGTTGGCAATGCCGGATGTGGCACATTTGACACCCTATATGTCTGTATACCCACACTGTTTTTATTACTATACTACAGTACAAGAGCTAATGAGAAATAAACTTAACTAACAATAATAATACATAATTTAATTAATTAATAATTTCATTGCAAATCTTGTGTTCTTATTGTTTTGGTTCTGTGCCCTTGATAGTTTTTGCCTTTTTGTTTTTTTTGAATGTTTAAAAAAAGAAAGATAACATGTTGTCATGAGGCAGTATTTGCAAAAAAAATGTATAAATTATTGCCTGTAAATAAATAAAAACATATCCCATTTATTATTCACCCTTTGTGCACTGACAAGGTTATGGATGAACTGGCTGTATAATAGATGACTGACAATTCTTACCTTCACTCAAACTTTCTTATGGCAGACTGTGTGGTGTGTGACTGTGGTGACTATCACATGTATCCAGCCTGAACAAACTTGGATTGCAGATATGTGCCGTCATTGAAAGGGTGTGTTGTGTGCATGCTAATGACTACAGATAAGCCAGGGACAAGGATACTCAGGAAACATAGTTGTATTGGTTGCTGCAAACCTTAGTGGTTGGAACCAAAGTGCCAAAAAGCCTACTTCTGTTCAATTCAACAAGAAGTGAATAAAAATGACTAGCTATTTTGTCAAAGTGGAATCCCTGGCCTCTGACAGTTAAATTTACCTCTAGCAATGATGATCCTGATGTTCCATGGTTTGATTAAATTTTCACCACAGTCCTCAGAACTGAGCTAGTAGCTATTTTGCTGAATAACTGACCTTAAGTAACCCATATGTGCTGGAATATTATGCCAGCATGGTAGAGTGGAAGTCCTATTGTCAAAATGAGAGAAATAAATAAATTTAGAATTAAACTGTAATGGAAATAAATGCATGGTCTAAGTATCAGTTTGTGTTAATTAACTTCTTGTTTGTTCTTAATTAAAACTAATTTTGCACTGTCTTTCCCCAAGTATTTGCAATAGCATTAACTAGATGCCGAAAGTTAGATGTGTGGTTGTTTGTGAGTGCATTCCTAATCCATTCAAATCAAGTAGGAAAAACTTTTCGAATGTTTGTTCCTTCCCTGGGAGCCTCTTTTCCTCCACAGCACAACAAGTGCTTGTCACTGAGCTACGTGAATGAACAATAAAGATTGTGTATGTGTGTGTATAGCCTGGCAGTGAGTTAAGGCGGAATGAAAATGTGTGTTGTTGATTAACTCCCTCTCTCTTTTTCTCCCTCCCTCAGCCACAGAGACGGAGAATAGCCCCGCTGGTTGCCATGGCTCCCAGCAGCAATCCATCTCAGTTCGTGTGCTTGTGTGGACTAAAGGGAATAAAAAAAAAAAAAAACAAGTACTCTGATGCAGGGGTGAGGAGCTTGCCCTCTTCTTAGGAAAGTAAGTGTTTGTCGCTCTGTGCGTGTGTGCGACTTGAGTGTGTCTCTAGCTGCTTTAGAGATAGAACTTCATTCACTATTCATATCACACACCATTTACTGACCTCGCTTCAAGTTTGTTTCCTCCACTGTCAATGAGTGTTTTTGTTTTAGTCTGCTTTAGTATAGAGAGTTAAGACCAAAGTTCCTGTCCAAAAACATGCTTTTAAAATGTGTCCCTGTTCATGAGAGTCTAAACAGTGCCTGCAAAGGAGCATACAGAATGTAGAAGTTACCGCTGTGACGTCAGCATCTTCAGAGCATCAAAATTTAATACTTGTTTCACAGCACAAGCACAACAGAATTGATATTTTCTGTAACTGCTCTTGCTCTCCAGCGTTGATCAAAGACCAGATAGAAAAGAAAAGTTGTGTTTTCCAACAAACATGTATCAGTTTTGAAGTGGCTGAAATTGTTACCAGACTATATTTTCTGTTGATGGGCACAGAGGACATATTTCGAGCTTTAAATAGAAAATACTGCGTAAAAGAACACCCACTTCCCAGCTATTTTGTACTTTTATCTACTAGGATGCACATCATACTAGTGTTAGATGCTTTATAAGTATCCAAAAAAGAAGACGCTTTCACGTAACATGAGTCATGTGCATTTGGCATGAGGTCGATGCTGTGGAGTGGTCAAACATCTTCTGGTAGATGTGCGTATGAGAGAAGGAGGCGCTTGTCACATAGCTTCTGTAGCTGCTGTGCAAATGTAGCTCAGCTTAAAGAAAATGTTGTCGCCTTATAAATCTCTGAGTAATGAAGAATGGGTGTCTACCCCACTTCTGTCATATGTGACACACAAATTTGCATTCTCATTTCAGTTACCCATGTGATCATACCACATACAGTAACTCATACTGTATTTAATCAATCATATTACACAGCACTGTGTGCACTTTTAATCAGCAGGTGATCTCTGACAGAAACACCAACTTTCAATATCTCTAACTAGCCACTCCAGCTTTAACATGACTTGAAAATGAGTGTTTGTGGAGTGCAAAAGCACATATTCATCCTCACGGAAGCTGTTTCAACTATTTCAAATGCTGTCCTTTTGTGCCTTATAATGCCTTGTTTTGAATGTTAAGTGTAGCACCGATGGCCCCACAGAAACAGAATGTGAGGATGTAATGTTAATACCTGAAGTGATCATTCAGTGACCCTTGACCTCGAAATGGCATCTCTTCTCTTCTAGCCGTGATTTTCAGAGGTATCAGCAAAGACGGATTAGCATTTGACATATTCAGAAAAACTTAAAGGATATTATGAGTGGTGTGAAATGTTCAAGGAGGAAATATATGCCTTATAAAGTGACACAGTCTGTTGGGTATTGCAGGCTCTCCTCACCACATAGCTGTCACAGGTTGCTGGCTTTAGATGCTGTGTGAGAGAGAAGCACTCATAAGACTCTGACAGCTGTTTAAGTTATTTTCCCATTCTGTTTGATACTCTTATTTTCTGAGGGGGTTTTGAGCAAACTAGTGAGACGGCTGATCCACAGTGCCATTTTCAGACTATTAAAAGCACTAAAGCATTTCCTCTTCCTGCCTCTATTTACAATATTGTCTACAGCAGCAATCTGAGGTAGCAATTAGATTGCAGCAGTGTGATGTATTATGAGTTCACAGACATCATGACTAATATTTCTAATGGAAAAACACAGATGTATTGGTGACAAAAATAGTGTTAATTTTGAGGTGAGTGCCTCAGGTATGAGTACCTGTACCATTATGACTATCACAGCCTGGAGCCAGGGCTTATCTCCGTACCTGCTGTGTCTAAAAAGTAATAAAAACACCATTAATGGATCAGCTGGCCTCTTCATAGAATTAATTGCTCATCTGAATTCAAAGACCTCAAAAGCAACCTGCCACCCCAGTGTAACATACTTCATGGTTAAAAGAGGATTTGCAGTGGTCATGAGTCAGTTGTCACCCGTCAGTCAGTGTCAGCTCAGACAGGATGTCAAAAGAAGGGTGACAGTACTTGACACAAGACAATAAGGTATACTGCAAAGCCGGGTGTATATAGTAGTTGCAAGGGGTTGTCAGACATAGCCTGAATCCCTAGAGGATGGCAAGGTATATTTATCGATTGTCACTACAGTTTCACTAAGGTGTTATTACACAAAAGACATGTTAGTAAAAATAAGTGATCTTTTGTGTTTCCATGGCTATCCAGTCAGTCTGTTTAATTGCCTTCATCTGTTTCTTGTATTACGAATTAAACACCTCAGTTTCCCAGCTGTGTTGACCTCATTTTAACTGCAGTCCTTATTGTTCTTCATGGTCGCTGCAGGTTTTGGTCTCCAGCTGCTTTCTGACCGTTATACCCCTCTCTCCTCTGGTAAGTAGTGTGAATGTACAAACAAAACTACATTAAGTTTATGCTGATTTATATGTGATCTAGAGCTTTAGTTTGTTTGGATCAAGTGTAACTTTGTATGGTTAAAATGGCAAACAGTCTCAGGCAGTTAGGGTATTATGGTATACTGGGGTATGCAGAAATCATGAAGGTATGACTATCAATACTATACAAAAAAAATGCAGGTGCTTTACTTTCTATTAAACTGATACAGAGATGCTGCATGCTGTTGGTTAGCTTGTGGTGCTCTGTTGTGTGTCGGTGTTATGTGCAATACATGAGTGGCTGATGTACAATACTGTTATCTGCAGTATGTCTTTTTTGGTGTATGTTTTTCATTTCTTCTGGACTATTATTGTAAGGCAGCAATACTTGTGCAGCTCCTGAGTCTAACACAGATTTCCCTATGAGGACAATAAAATATATTGTATCGTATCGTATCGTACCGCATCATATCGTATTGTAAGGTATCGTATCATATTGCATCATATCGTATCGTATCGTATGCTGTATTGCAGCGATGTAGTGGATAGCGTGTGCCACCAGAGGTCATTCTATACAGGCAGCTGAGCTAAGAAAGATGCGACTGTGAGCAGTGGGAATGACGTTACAGGAGTAGTAAAACGAAAAATGTCTCTGCCCTTGTTTGGGAGTATTACCACGTAACTTTATACTAAGATGACTTGCTCCAACTAGAGAAGCAGTTTATTAGCCACATCATTTTATTCAATGTCATCTCCGTTCAGCCCAATGATGTGTCTGTAGCCACTGCAGGACCAAGTATCATCAGGTCACCCAGTAAGAAGGGCATTCATTTCCCATCTATTCATCATTCTATGGGACATAACTGTTAAAGCCCAGCAGAACTGTTGCTAATTGCAGATTAGAGACACAGCATTATAGGCTTGACAGTAACATACATAATACAACGACTTCTATCACCAGTGAGTGACAGCTGTTTTCCAAAGCATACCCAATTCTTGATAGATTTCCTAATTTTCTTGTCAGTAGTAATCAATAGTATTTTCCTCACCTTTATTGTTTTCAATACAATACAATTTAGCTCAAGGTAACCAATGGCTGCCTAGGAAAGAGAATATCCATAAAAACTGATGTGCTTTGCCAACAGTGTATAAGATTTGTAATTAAATGGGCTAAAACATGCAAAACCACATTAAGCATCTTTTTGAATACATTGGTTGATCCACCTATGTGTCTCTCTATTTTACTTTACCTCCCAGTGACTCATAGAAACAGTTATATAAACTCTTTCATCTGATTCATTGGAGTAATGTTAATGAGATGATAATGTGAGTATGTAGAACATGATCGACACGTCTACATTTCTGCTCTGTCCTTTCATTTACCACTGTGTGCTAGACACAGTTATATTGTATGTTGTATAATCGGGTGTAAATATATGCAGTGCATAAATAAATGCAAGATGGCATCTTTTCCCGAGAGACAATTAAGAACTTGAAAGAAGAGTGAAAATGAAAAATTGCACGGGCATGATGCCAGTAATATAGATAAATCGTGTTCCATAAGGGGATAATGTAAAATGTCTTAATAGGAGAGAATTCACATTCCTCACATGATAAGTAGAGAATGTTAGATGAATCATATGACTTTAAGATGTGTAGTGGAACCTGCCAGGAAGGTAAATGTCAGATTGCAGTCAGACACATGTAGTCTAGCCAAAACGCACACTTAAAGATCCACACTGTTGTTCTCTTTGCAGGCTTTGCAGGGAGGTAGCTCTTAGTGTTTTCTCTAGTTACTTGATGCCAATGCTCTGATTTCTTGTTTCTTTCTTGCTTTGTATCCAGTGGATCTACAAAAATAAAAGTTTATTGATTTCTAAATAGAGCAGATTCTCCCTAGGGGGACGTTTTCTTTCAACACTGGCTCATAGGTCAACCTGCATGTTAATTAATTAGAACGCTGTCACCGAAATCAAGATAGTGCTTACAGTAAATCTCTGGCTACAGTGTTGTTTTGTTGATATTTAAAAATAAGTCAGATAATAAGAGGCTCCACCACTTAATACTGTACAGAGAACCAGTAAAACTTGTTATCAGTTACACAGAACAGTGTTTGGAGCAATTCCACATCTGCATGCACACAAATGCACATAGACATCAATTAACAGCACTATTCACCTAAACACCAAACAAGTGTACTACTAACAAGCCACACACACAGTGCATGTTGCTCCATAGCAGGCATCGACCACTGATGGCATCTCTCCCACACACACTCGCACACATCGACCAGTATCTGTCAGCCCAGTGGTGTCCAGGATGCTGACCTCCAGTCGCCACTGCTGGAAGTCAATATCACTGTCAACTCAGAAACGACATTCACTGTCATGGCAACAGGGGCTCAGGCACACACACGTGCACACAGGCAAAACATGAGGTGGATATAGCGATTAAGAGAGGAACCCAAGGTCATCAAATAGAGACAACCTTGGGTTGGTAGTGGACTGAGCCACCAACCCAAAGTGTTGGTGACTTCTTCAGTCAAACTTTTAGAGAAAGTGCATATTTTATGTTTCCCAGAGGAGTAACCTGACCTACAACATAGGACTGATACTAATACTATACAGTTAGGATAGAAAGCCTACAACTGTAAGTTTGAACTCACCATGATCCTTTGCTTTGTCAAACTCATGATGTGCATCTTATCTGAAAGCTTCATGAAAATCTGATCAGTGCAGAGTAGAGCCAAATACTTGGCAGAGGATGACCAAAATGAACTCCTGTTGAGTTGTTGACCTTGTTCACTCGTGGTGTAAATGCACAGAAAGAGAGAGGAAAGTGGGAGCAAACACATAATCCATAATCCATAGCTGCCTGTGTGCAGAGAAAACCGAATCAGCTTTTCACAGCAGCAGGTTTGGAAAAAACTCGGGATATTTTGCAGGAGGCGACAGCACGCTGTGATCATTCACCACACAGCTTGTGTCTTCACACCTGTCAGAACAGAGAGTAACTCTGTGTGTGTGAACATGTGTGTTTTGTTGAGAGGATGTTGCTTTAGCTTTACTTCTCTTTACTCTCACATTGTATCATTCAGCTTTGGCTAAAAAAAAAAGCTGTGCCCATGAAAGTGTGTTGTGTTGTGTTGTGTGTGTGTGTGTGTGTGTGTGTGTGTGTGTGTGTGTGTGTTTGTTTGTTATATAAGACTCATTAAGTGTTTTTTTCCAGTAGTAGTCTTTTTTTTTTTTTTTGCTCTGTTCTCTATTTTAGTCTGTAATTACACAGACTGATGCTACGATCAACATGTTGTTATTCCACAAGCCAATCTCATATTCTCCCACGAACGTGCCTGCGCACACGCACTCACACACACACACACACACACGCACACACACACACACACACACACACACACACACACACAGGCTTATGTCCCGGAAGCACGGAGGCAGAGAGGATATTGTAACTAGCATCCGAAAAAATGTTGGTCCAACAAGTGAGACAAGGCTCCCGCCTGAATTAAAGAGGATTATCTCTCTTAATTTATGCTAATTAATGCACACAGAGTAATGAGCGCAGCATGTTATTGTGTGACTGAAGCCTGTCACACTCTCACAAGCTCCCACAACTGTGTTTTATTGCACCATTGAAGCCTGTTGCTTGTGGAACTACACTTAAGACACACACATACACGCACGTACCCACACACTCAGCACAATGCCATTGTGTACTTCATGGGAATCTTATAGTCCACAGCCACTGCCAAATCTCACCACCATCGCAAACACACACACACAAGCTGATTCCGCTGTGGGACAGTCCTGGCTTGGTTGGATCCACATTCTTGTTTCGTTTCACTGCTTTATAAAGAAATTAAGAAACTGGTGAGGTTTCTCCCTTAAAGCTTTGTGAAGTACTCAAATGAAACCTTTCGTGAAAGTCACCATGATATTCCAAGAGAGAGTTGTCTCTATTCAGCAGTATGATTAGACATTTGTGACCCAACTTTCCACACACAGCAGTTAGGGACTTCATGTGGTGTTTGACATCCTTATGTCTTATCTAGCTTGTCTTGCATGATAATAATAATAATTAGATCCAATATACTGTGTAGATACAACATACTAGCCAGTCATTACTGTATGATCATGGAGGAGGTCCCTGCAATTCATTGCCTAACAGTGATATGTGGGATAAAAATGTCATAAAGGAGTATATGTATTGAAAAACCAATCCAACAAACACTATAGAGATACTGTCATTGTAGTGATACTCAACTTACAAGGCTGTCCACGACCACACTGGGCGTTTTTACAGGCAGGAATTACAACCCACATTTATGTGTTTTGTTTGGCTTCGACCTCTAGTGGTCATAGTGATTATTACGGGAGCAAAGTAGAAAAGAGAGAGTCTGCTTAGAGTGGGAGGAAGGGGAGGTGGATGGGTCAAACAAGCACAGAACTTTTATCCAGGAGACCAGTGTACATGTACTGTGTAAAACCAAAAATCAATAATTGTTATTTTAATAACAAGGTGTAGTTTGTTGATGTAAGTCAAGACGCATGTCACAAAAGTGATTTCACGTGACGTTTGTCACATGAGGTACAACAAATTACCTTACATACTAACAAACCTATGTCACAAACATACTTATTTTATACCAAACCATGATGTTTTTTCCAGACCAAACCAGTTTTGGTGCAACGGTGACTGTTTCTTAACGTTACCCACACATTTAAAATTGCAGTTGTTAATGGGCATTTGAGCTATTCTGTCGTCCACTGGTAGGTGTGCTAATATTGGGTGGGTTTTATTGTGGGTCCTATTCAGAGGTATAATAGAACTTATGTGGTGTTATGACTTGAAGGACTTGTTGCAGCTTGTTGCCTCTGGGCCAAATCTGGCCTGCGATTGGGTGCCATGTGGCCACCAACCATTTCCTATTTCATAATGAACATAAACTGACTAAGACTGGGATTTTTTTGTACTTTGAATGTAATTAAGGTGCCGGAGGACATTTAAAAACTATCAAAACAGAGCTTGTTTATTTAAAAAAAAAAACAAAGTGCCAGGAGAGGACTCTCTAGACACCCAATAGATGTTTGGGCTAAGCCCAGAATGTCCTTATATTCTCTAAACACCCCTTTATACACCTGACCTGAGCAGGGGTGCTGCATTGGATTTGCCCCTTGGCAAAAACGAGTGAGGACAGCAAATCTCCATTTTGTGTGATAAAGGCCCCTGGCCTCTTGTCATTTTGCAAAAGTGGCTCTCAGGCCAGGCAAGTTGAGTATCTCTTCTGTATGAGATAATAAGGTCACAAAACGAACAAGCATGTGTACATTTTTATGTTGGTCATATATGCCTTTTTTCTGCAACCTTACTTTACATTACTGTGATACTATAAAGTATGACAAGTTCAATACAAACTCATTGTTTTGTACTACAGATACTGTACTATAGGAATATAGTGGGATTTCCATGCTGCTGCCAGTGGAGATAAAAGCCTCTAAATCGCATCTGCTTGCTGCAGACACACACCATGTCCCTGTAGTAATATCATAAGAACATTACAGGAGTGATACAGTGATTTCCATTAAGGGCAGTGGGCGGCGCGCACACACAGCCTGTCTTATTGCGATATACGTGAGTGCGCGTTCATTATCAACCAACCAGCCAGCGAGCCCGCACTCCTCCAACCAAACCCAGCCGAACCACACCGAGCCGAGCCAGAGCCACTGGAGCATTTAGCCGTGCCGCCCCGCACAGAGGCAGCAGAGGAGGAATGATGACCTGGTAGCGCATCTTTACGCACCCGACCCGCCGTCCGTCCCTTATAAATCCACAATCTGCCTCTTTACGTTTAATTCTCTCACCGAGACCATGGAGACGGCAGTTTCCAGGACCGATATTCTCATCTCTCAACTGCTCCTTTTCAGCCAAATAGGTAAGAAACTATAGAGGAGGAAAATCCTCATTTAATTGGTGGCTGACATGTGATGCTTTGGACGTTTTAAGCTGTCAAAGATTGAGCGGTGCCTCTGATTTATTCCCTCGGATATTTCCCGCACACTTCAGTCTGTTTCAAAATCTGCAATCGGGGGCAAAGGCTGATTAATTTTGCATGTAGATGGCATTTGTGAGAACATGCATACCCGACGTGTAAATGTGTTCTTACAGTATTGACAATCGCTAAATTTTCCCGTCCACTCAAATTTTGTTTCAGTCAATCCTTCGCAGTACGTGCAGAGATTTTTCTTGTCATGCTTTGAACATGTTGAGCTGTTTTTCCAAACACAAGCAAGTTGAAGTATGAATGAAATGTGATGCTGTGCAGTGTGACGACGCTCTGTGTTTTCTAATGTCTTTCGTGAATGCTGGAAAAGACGGTGCTCAAACAGCTCCCACAGCGTCTGTTGAACTTATTTGATGGAGGCGTTCAGTCCAAATGTTGCTTTAAATCACACGCTGCGCGTTTCCTTTGGAAGCTTGGATTAATAACATCCATATTATTTTTTCTAAACACCCCTATGATATTTTATAACAGAATAAGTGGCACAGGATGTATAATGCAGCATTTATCTTAAATAATTGCTGTATTATCCGCATGTAAATTAAAAAAAAAGGGTAGGCTTATGTATTTTTTCTAGTTTTGATGCTAAGTATCCATCGGTAAATTTACCATAACTCATCGGAAAGTCCACTGGCATCATACGCCACAAGTACAAAACTTCTCAGGTATCAACACATTCATAATTTAGAGAGAAAACTTGTAAACTAATGGTTAGTTAAACATTTAATCACTCAGGATATGAGTCAGAGCAGCTGTCAAAGCACAGATCCTCCTGTAAAGAAAGCTGAGAGCAAGACTTGGTTCTGATTTCAGTAACAGGTGCAGAAGTAAGATAGAAAAAAAAATCTATACATCCTGTCTGTGTGCTAATCTCCAAAGTGTAAAAAAGGAAGACACAAATAAATATGTCGTTCTGCAGTCAATAACAAGATGAATCATCGCTTTCAATTTTCATCCAAACCAAACTGGTAGTGGAGCAAATACTTTCATTTTTTGAGCATTCAAAATTTCCAACAGTAACTTGTAATCATTCAATCAATAATTTTATCTGTCCCTGGAGGGGGGAATTTGGTGTGCAGCAGTGGAAGGCATACATTTAGTACACATAAAACACAGGACACATTATCCAACTCTAATACCAACAGACAACAAACAAACAACAAACAAGTTATTGATTAAAAAAACAAGTTAAACACTGGGTCAACAGGGGGTCTGTGACCCCTTGGGGGTCCTCGGAGTTAATGCAGTTGGGCTGGCCAATCATTGTTTGATAACTTATTTTAAGTTTTAATTGAAGTTTTTTTTTTTTTTCATTTTTTAGCGCCAATAAATTGGCCTATTCCTAAAAAGACATTTAATTTTCAGTGAACAACATTAATTATAGGCTAACTGTTACACAAGAATTCTTGTGCAGTCATGAGCCAGCTAGCACCAAATCCCTGTTTGTCACTTATCCATAACAGTGAAATGAACTAATTTGCTCACATACTTTACATACATACATAAATTACATACTGTTATTATTATTATTACTATTACTGGCCAACTAGCTGTACTATTATTGTGTTATATCATTAGTGTATAGACATTCTTGTGAGCCCCAATGGATAGTTTTATAACTTTTTGTGCAAGAGACTCACACACCGACACACCGTCCACCTCAGAAACCACTGGCAAAGGTGCAGAGGGTGAGGCTAACGCACATGCTACAACTGTTGCTGACTTAGCAGCTACAGACAAGCACAGTGCAGAGAAGACCTGGAAATATTCAGAGAATTATCACAAGTGCTCTGTGCTTCTTTGAGCTAAGGGGTCCTTGGCCTGAAAATCATTACAGACCCCTGAGTTAAACCATTTGTAAATACCTACCTGTTCCTCCCCGAGTTTAGGATGGAGATGGCAGAAGATATAAAGGAGTGTTTGAGTCTAATGGTTTTAGCTAGTGAAAGTCAGGAGGGTTCCAGATGGCAGAAACTGAAACTCCTGATGAAAGGATGGGAACAATAAGACAGGGTGGATTCTGCTTTCTTATATAACTGTCTTTTTGTAAAGATCCTGCAGAGTTTACTGTGCAGTGCCAGCTATTTTGCTGCAGACATTGACCACCTTAATGGGTTCATTTTTGTGTTTTTTATTTTTTTCCTGTCTGACATTGAGAGATTGAAAAGAAAAGGTGAGCACAGACTCATAAAAATCGATAAAAGGTTGTCATGAAGATCCTGGCAACCTGGAAATTAGAGTTTCCTGAGACAAAGAGATGCTACTGGCTTTTCTTGTGGGTGGCATGGTGGTGCAGTGGTTAGCACTGTTGCTTCATAGCAAGAGGGTTCCTGATTCGAACCTGCTGGTTGCAGCCGCACTGCGTGGGTTTTCTTCGGGTTCTCTGACTTCCTCTCACAGTCCAAAGATATGTAGGTTATTTTGATTGGTAGCCCCTTTTACACTGCCTCTTTAAGGCAGGAATTTCTCGCCGTTATGCCATCTTGCTGGTCTATAGAAAAGGTATGACCATGGAATGGGGGACCAGAGTTGTCTCACCTTTAAGGTGGCATTGGAGGTAATAACAGTCTCTAAGACGTGTTATGTGTGTGACCCATCACGGAAGATTTAAAAAGTAGCTGTTAGCAGTTAGCAGCAAACTCAACAAGGAAGAACAGCAGTCAAAAATTTCTGCAAATAGGGACAACAGTAAGATCTGGGAGCTCCTTACCCTCTGAGCTTAGGACGAGATCAACCGCCATATAACAGGGACGGTGAACGATTGTTTTTGCCATATTAATGCTATTGTCACTGTTAAGTGTGTTACACGTCACGTCCGTCACGCTTCTTATGCTTCAGCATTGCCTGCACGCTATCTAAAATTACACACTGGGGCAGCATGGTGCCTCTGTTGTTTGGTTCCATGTAAAAATGCAAAGGCGGCATAAGGGTGGCCCTCTGACGTGAATTCTGTGTAAAAAGGGCTGGTGACTCTAAATTGCCTGTAGGTGTAAATGTTAGTGTCAATGGTTGTCAGACTTGTTAAAGTCCTGTCCAGGATGTACCACGCCTTTCACCCATCGTCAGCTGGGATAGGCTCCAGCACCCCTGTGATCCTGTTTAGGATAAGCAGTTACAGATAATGGATGGCTTTTCTTGTATACCATGTCAGTATAAGGCTTATTTTGTGCTCAAAGTTAGATAGATATATGGACACAGATGGAGCCTTCTGTCTGTGAATGCTCATGTCCTCCGAATTTGTGCATGTTTTCAGAGAACTTATGAATACTGACTTAACTGAGCAGTTAAGCGTAGTTCAAGCACGACATGACAGCGGAATGGAACCTAATGGTTATATAGTGAAAAATATTCTCTGACCAACATGTTGTCATGTATTGATTGGCCCTTACTTATTACTGGCATCTACAAGGTACATTTTTACCTCTTCCTCCACTCTTGCCATGTTTGTTATTGTCCAGACTATATACAGTACAGGCCAAAAGTTTGGACACACCTTCTCATTCAATGCGTTTTCTTTATTTTCATGACTATTTACATTGTAGATTCTCACTGAAGGCATCAAAACTATGAATGAACACATGTGGAGTTATGTACTTAACAAAAAAAGGTGAAATAACTGAAAACATGTTTTATATTCTAGTTTCTTCAAAATAGCCACCCTTTGCTCTGATTACTGCTTTGCACACTCTTGGCATTCTCTCCATGAGCTTCAAGAGGTAGTCACCTGAAATGGTTTTCCAACAGTCTTGAAGGAGTTCCCAGAGGTGTTTAGCACTTGTTGGCCCCTTTGCCTTCACTCTGCGGTCCAGCTCACCCCAAACCATCTGGATTGGGTTCAGGTCCAGTGACTGTGGAGGCCAGGTCATCTGCCGCAGCACTCCATCACTCTCCTTCTTGGTCAAATAGCCCTTACACAGCCTGGAGGTGTGTTTGGGGTCATTGTCCTGTTGAAAAATAAATGATCGTCCAACTAAACGCAAACCGGATGGGATGGCATGTCGCTGCAGGATGCTGTGGTAGCCATGCTGGTTCAGTGTGCCTTCAATTTTGAATAAATCCCCAACAGTGTCACCAGCAAAACACCCCCACACCATCACACCTCCTCCTCCATGCTTCACAGTGGGAACCAGGCATGTGGAATCCATCCGTTCACCTTTTCTGCGTCTCACAAAGACACGACGGTTGGAACCAAAGATCTCAAATTTGGACTCATCAGACCAAAGCACAGATTTCCACTGGTCTAATGTCCATTCCTTGTGTTTCTTGGCCCAAACAAATCTCTTCTGCTTGTTGCCTCTCCTTAGCAGTGGTTTCCTAGCAGCTATTTGACCATGAAGGCCTGATTGGCGCAGTCTCCTCTTAACAGTTGTTCTAGAGATGGGTCTGCTGCTAGAACTCTGTGTGGCATTCATCTGGTCTCTGATCTGAGCTGCTGTTAACTTGCCATTTCTGAGGCTGGTGACTCGGATGAACTTATCCTCAGAAGCAGAGGTGACTCTTGGTCTTCCTTTCCTGGGTCGGTCCTCATGTGTGCCAGTTTCGTTGTAGCGCTTGATGGTTTTTGCGACTCAACTTGGGGACACATTTAAAGTTTTTGCAATTTTCCGGACTGACTGACCTTCATTTCTTAAAGTAATGATGGCCACTCGTTTTTCTTTAGTTAGCTGATTGGTTCTTGCCATAATATGAATTTTAACAGTTGTCCAATAGGGCTGTCGGCTGTGTATTAACCTGACTTCTGCACAACACAACTGATGGTCCCAACCCCATTGATAAAGCAAGAAATTCCACTAATTAACCCTGATAAGGCACACCTGTGAAGTGGAAACCATTTCAGGTGACTACCTCTTGAAGCTCATGGAGAGAATGCCAAG